GATTGCGCAATACAATCTCTGTCTGTAAACACTACACAACACGTCGGTGGATCCTAGATCCTCCTCGGCGTGAGATCCTCGCAGTTAGTACCTCTCGCAATGGTCAGTCAGCCAATCCTATCCCACCGTGGATGCCATTGAAATGGGGTTATAACAATACATACATGTAGATCACTTGCCCGATAGCACGGTCAAAATAAGAGTTATTGCCCTTTAATTGTGCTCATGGATAAAACATCAAGAGTTATCTTTCTTAATCAATAATATGTACAAAGTATAAACACTCTGGAATTAATAGATAAAACAATAAGATCAAATTATATTGAACTCTTCCAGAATAATATAATTATATGGACAATATTCAAAATATATATACATCATACCTATATGTGATATAAAGCCATTCTCCAAATATACAATATGATGAGTGAAATCTTACTCAGTGATCTGCACATAAATAAAACACAACTTTACTGTATTGCTCTCAAAAATATACAATACACTGATATATGAAATCATTACTTTTCATTATTTACAAATTCATAAAATAATCACAAATACTGAATCTTCATACTTCATACAGAAGAATATTTTGATTGATATCACTGCATTTTAAATTTCAGAATTTCACTTTTTCACAGGGTTTTTGGCAAAAATTTTCCCTCTGCAGGGAAGGTGTGTCTTACATGTTAGGCATGCGCACTCCTCCCTATATATTTTTGTTTTTCATTTTCTCTTTTTAATGTTATTTTTTCTCTCTCCCTCTCTTTTCTTCTTCTTCTCCTCCTTTTTCTATCCTATATTAAAACAACTTTCACATGTGTTTAATTAAATGTGAACTTGTGTATGTGGATGTCCTTTTGTAAATTTAATACTGCTACGCTATCTATAATAGATACTGGAAGGAAGATATATTTATGAACATACTTGTGTATATACATGTATGTACTTGTTTGATATAAATGTGAAAGTTAAAATAAAATTAAGAAAAAAAAAGTCTTATTGACACCTAAATGACATGCCATAGGTGTTTCATGATCTTGACGATAAGCAGCTGGTACAACTATCTGGTAAACAACACGCCACGCTTCATCTGGGGAAGCGTCAGGTGGTCGCCATTTTCGCAAAAGGAGGCCATCTTTCATGTAGAAGCATTTTCTAACTTTTTCGACCTCTTTTGGTGGAAGTGCTCTCTTTCTAAGTTGGATGATATCTGGGTCTTTAAGATACCTTTTATTGTATACCAATAACTTTGACCTTGTAGATTTTTGTACTTGTGAAAAACTTTAACCTTGCCCATGACTTGTGCTCTTTTTTTTTTAATTTTTAGAGCAGGCAAGATGTAAAGCAACAAATCATAATGAATTGATAGTGTTTCAAACTTAAGGATGACTTTTTTTTTCTTGTCCTTTTTTGCACAATGTAAGACTCATTTTTGATAATTGGACACCTGGGACGTATCAGAACTGGAATCCTAACGATGAAGGCCTCCTTCTGACATATCATAACGACTGTAGGTGGAGCTGGGTGACTGAGAGAAACTACGCATACTATACAGGAGAAGATGGACTAAAACGCTCCGTTATTTGTGAGGATTCGTCATTTCTTTGGAGCTAGAAACGTGTTCTGTTACATAATAAATCTTTTTCTTGTAATTTAAATAAACATTTGCAACCATTATCGTTTTATATAATTTCATGAAGCATAGTGTAAGAAGTTTTAAATCATTAAATGGAGTCTTCTTAAGTATACGCCGTATATTTGTCCCCTCGAAAGAGATCTAGATCCACCATGACACTCCTCTCAACATACGTACAAACATTTTACTCCTCTCATCATATACATACAAACATTTTAGCACAAAGTGTTTTTTTTTTATCAATTGCTATCCGTAATCCAAAAAAAAAAAAATGGGAAATAATGTTTGCTGTGACGGGCAGTCAAACCGACTGTTTGTGATTTTTTCCCCCTGATTTATTTGTAAGTGGGGAAATCAATGAGCCCTGACTACAGCCTTTAATTGATTATGGATTTCATATTCCACAGGTGTATATAATATGAAAGGACCTATCCTTGGTCTTATCTTTTTTTATTGTGACTTTCATTTTGGAATTTAAGCCTTTGTCAAATGAGCTATGGCTTCAATATATCTCTGGTGCATTCCACGTGTAAAACTTTTTCTTAAGGTCATGTATTTTTGGCATTTTGACTGATGTTTATGTTTGACAAATTTTTAAAGACATTATTTTTTAAATTAATCTTAGCCGTAACTTTTAAACGGTTAAATCAAGTGATATCATACTCCTCAGTAATACTTTGACCTTGAACTGATAGATTAAACCCACTTTTTAAAAAAATGTTAACTTTGACCGTACTTCCTGAATTATTATTGCTAGGGGATTACTATTTTACTGGTTTATTTCTTGTCGTTAAACCTTCGTAATTCTCTGGAATACCAAATACCGGTATATACTTTTTTTTTTATTTTGTATGCTTTTATTTGGACCTCTGACTTTGACCTTCATTTGAAAAACTTCAGTACTTAGTCAGAACTTGGGAATGTTTGATTCCGTGTTTTTTTATCTTTTACTTGTGCATCTTTGTGAAATTTTTTAGGACATCATTATTATTGACTCTTTGACCTCGTCCAGTTTGACCTACATTTGAAAATCTCCAACTTCATTCATAATTGAACTGTTGCTGCTTTTGTGGTTTTTATTTCTCGAAGGTGGACTTTTTTTGGTACCAAAACACCTTTAATATTTACTTTGGTGTTTGACCTGCAAACGACAACATTCATCATAAGCCCTTTTGTTTCACAAACTCATCTTGAATTGTAATCATTAGCTCCTAAAACTTTTTCTTTTGATTTAATAACAAATTTCAAGCTGTAGTCTATCAATTTTTTGGATATATATAAACCATTGTCTTTACATTCCATAATCAAAAATGACTCATAATTATAAATGTATTTCCAAACATATTGATTAATGTTATCTCGCTAAGTTTTATTTGCAGAGACAGCTGCAAATTTAAGATAACATCTTTAAAAAAATGTTTTTAACTTATTTGAATAACTCTTACCCAAATAGCAATAAATTTAAATGATCTCGAATATTGCTTTTAACGTTTGTGACGTCAGATTAAAACGCATATTAAAAACGTAACCTTTAAACACCGATTTGTGTTTTGAAAAAAAAAAAACAAAAAGTTAGACTATCGATATAAGTCTACTACAACGTATATTGTGCATTCAAGAAAGGAAAGATCTATTTCTTTTTAATGATTATTTGTAGCAATAGAAGATATTGATCTTCAGAAAATGTTAATTATTTCTACTTTAAGCTCATAATCTAGTATCAGTGGGAATCTAGTATCATTGCGTTCTTGTCACACCTAACAATCAAGCTATCTAAATATATTAATGGTATGATTAGATTTGTTGAAAGAAATATTCAGTACGCCTCACTTCAACATTTTAGCTTATTTTCTACATGATATTAAAAAAAACAATAATTTTAATTTAAGCAGTTTCAAGTAGATTAATGGATAATTAAATGCTCATTCATTAAAATACTCCATGGATGGAAAAAGATGGGGATATGTTTTATAGAGGTATAATCTTAGATGTATTGTACCACAAAACATCTTAACATCTTTATTACAATGAAACTTGTCTTATCCGACATGCACGGGGAACAGATTTATGTGTCGGAATAAACAAAGTGTATAGTAGTATTGCAGCGTGTAAAGATCATTGATATAAGTATGAATTACAAATGAAATTAAATGGCTGAAATAACAGCAAAGAGTATTGTATGTGTAGCATTAAACAGCTTCCACTGAAACAATAAAGTAATCTTTATCCTAATTCTCCGTCCAGTTATCTCCATTTATCAGTGTTTGGAAAAAAGAACAAAATATTTCTAATTTCAAATTTATTACAACACGTGTAAAGTACATCTTTTAAGGTAATTCCACACTCCTATGATGTCATAGGTTTTTGCAAAATCTGTATTTAGTTTAAATTCACACCTTATAGAAAAATATTTCTTGGAAGAATGCTTTACAATAGGTGTAATGATAAATGTTGTTTAGTTAAAGAATTCAAAAAATGCATATTTTCTATATTTAATCAATTATTCAATCTTTAAATAATGTTTACAAGGGCAATAACTCCTTCTAAGGTCTCTTCATTCAGGCATTTGCTTTTCTGTAAAATAGTTTACCTGATATTCACAATTCAAAAGTATCTTTTAAATAGGAAGTACTTAGGAACACTCAGCATCAGAATTATGCATATTAACCAGTTTTTACATGTTTTTCTCAATAATTTTAACAAAAAATGTACAATTTTTTGATGTTGATATACACTTCTGTTTATTTATGTTTTGCATCTTAAATAATATGGTGACCTATACATTTTTTGCAATAAATGGAAAGTTTAAAGTATATTGAATGAAAATATATGCAGTTTTTGTACTTTGAACCTATAAAACTGTGAGTGTGGAAATTCCTTAATGAATACATCAAGTACCGCTTTACAGAAGAGTTCAATCCCCTTCCTTACCGAAAACATATCCGATTACATGTTTATTACTTGATGTTAAATATTTAAAAAAAAAAGAACTCAGCGATGGAAATTAATTTAAAATCTTCTCGTGAGGGTTTGCGTTATCCATGGATGATCTTTTGTCTGTTAGAAAATAAATTTATACTTCAAAGATAAATTTATAATAACATTTTTTTTCTCTTAAAAAAACTTTTATAAATTTTCAGAGTAATACAAAAAGAAAAAAAGGATATTAAGATGTAATGATGTTTACCTAGTTCCGTCTGACCATCATGGTGGTCCCCTTCACTGATGTCCCCCCCTCTACTGTGGGAGACCATGGTCTGATCCAGTCTCCCGTAGACCACTGACCGTTAAGGAAGGCGTGGTGACAGGAGCGGAACCACCAGCCTCCTCTATTGTGAACAGCACAGTTATTAATAGACCTGTCGTTATCTCTGTCCTTGGTGGTGAATGGCATTCCAGACAGATCGTGGCCGCTTGTCATGCTGTCTCCTGAAATAAAATAGTAATATGTTTTACGGTGTGACCGTTGGGGCAAGCGCAGTTTATTTACTATCATTAACCTACACATGTACTGTATATCATTCTCGAAAAAGAAAGCAAAAAGATAAAAAAACAAAACAATAAAAAGAAATCATTTCCCAAGCATCGGGATCGAGATTCCAAACTTCTCGGAAGTTTCCGACAAAATCGGAAATACCCGAACCGCTAAAGTGACGAAAGTATGACGTCAGATAAAAAGTTATGTTGACTTAGGGCGCAACAATCTAATTAAAATTAGATGTTAGATCCGCTCACATACTAGCTACACTAACATCTAACAACATCCCATAGGGTGTAACGTCAGAGGTAAAACTCGGAACAACTCTAGACTTATTCGCTTCGATAACATCAACAAAATATCCGATGATTTTGCCAGCGACAATTTGATTGGTTGATAAATTTTGACCTCTGACGTGACCCTCTATGGGATGTTGTTAGATGTTGGTGTAGCGAGTATGCGAGCGGATCCAACATCTAATTTTAAATAGATTGAGGGCGCAAACGCTAGTTTTATAGAAAAGAGATTGCATTAAATCATTCTTTTCAAGTAAGCTGTTGCTATGTTTTAGCCACCATGTCGCTATCCACCGCAACATGTTTTCCGAGTTTCACGGAAGCAACCGACATATCTTCGTCAAAATTGGTAAGTTTCCGGTGACGTCATTTGTATCATTTCCGAAGGGCAAGGTGAAGGCCGGTCTTGTGGCATGGGGGTATTTTTTGGAATAAGGTAAGGTAAAATCATTTCGTTAAGATTTTGGTAAGAAACAATGTCCTTTAATTATACCCGCACTTTCTTAAGAAAGTTCGGGTATATTGTTGTTACTCATGTCCGTCCGTCCGTCCGTCTGTCACACTTTTCTTCCCTGAACTCCTCTTACATTTTACACAGTAGCCTAATCATCTCTTAGGAGATGGTTGGTGGTGTCATGTAGATGTGCAGTAAGGTTTCAGAATTTTGATTTTGCCCCGGGGGGTCAAATGGGGGTCGAAAAATGACGGTTTGTTATGCAAAAAGTCCCGTCTTCCCTGAACTCCTTTTACATTTTACTCAGCAGCTTAATCACCTTTTGGGGGATGATTGGTGGTGTCATGTAGATGTGCAATAAGGTTTCAGAATTTTGATTTTGCCCCGGGGGGTCAAATGGGGGTCGAAAAATGACGTTTTTTATGCAAAAATTCCCGTCTTCCCTGAAATCCTCTTACATTTTACACAGTTACCTAATCATCTTTTAGGAGATCTTTGGTGGTGTCATGTAGATGTGCAGTAAGGTTTCAGAATTTAGATTTTGCCCCGGGGGGTCAAATGGGGGTCGAAAAATGACGTTTTTTTATGCAAAAAGCCCCGTCTTCCGTGATCTCCTCTTACATTTTACTCAGCAGCCTAATCATCTTTTGGGAGATGGTTAGTCGGGTCATGTAGATGTGCAGTAAGGTTACGGAATTTTGATTTTGCCCCAGGGGGTCAAATGGGGGTCGAAAAATAACTTTTTTTAGCAAAAAGCCCTGTCTTCCCTGAACTCCTCTTACATTTTACTCAACAGCCTAATCATCTTTTGGGAGATGGTTCGTGGGGTCATGTAGATGTGCAGTAAGGTTTCGATATTTTAATTTTGCCCCGGGGGGTGAAATGTAGGTCGAAAAATTATGTTTTTTATGCAAAAAGCCCCGTTTTCTCTGAACTCCTCTTACATTTTACTCAGCAGCCTAATCACCTTTTGGGAGATGGTTGGTGGTGTCATGTAGATGTGCAGTAAGGTTTCGGAACTTTGATTTTGCCCCGGGGGGTCAAATAGGGTTCAAAAAATGATGTTTTTATGCAAAAAGCCCCGTCTTCCCTGAAATTCTCCTACATTTTACACAGTAGCCTAATCATCTTTTGGGAGATGGTTGGTGGTGTCATGTAGATGTGCAGTAAGTTTTCGTAATTTTGATTTTTTCCACGGGGGTCAAATGGGGGCGGAAAAATGACGTTTTTGTGCAAAAGTCCTGTCTTTCCTGAAGTCCTTCTTAATGTTACTCAGAAGCCTTTTAGGAGAGTTAAATATTTTGAAAATTATGTAAAACATATGTGAAACACCTTGAATTTTTATAAGTAATTAATGTACATGTCAAATGTGAGAGTCATATCTCATCTCAATCAAAAGTTATAAGCAAATGCAACATTGTTGAAAAGTAGGTTAGGCTTCAAGGTCAAGGTCACAGAGTAAAAGTCATGATTCATTTGGAAAGATCTTATCACAGGTAAAAATATACATGCATTATAATATGAATGCCCTAACTTTTCTCTTACAAAATGATGAATTTATAGCAATTTAATTTTTTTGCAAGTAGGTCAAACTTCTAGGTCATATGTAAAAAAAAACCATGCCATTCTCGCAGGTAAATACTAGTACATAAGTTTAATATGAATGCCTTCTCCCTTTCCCATTCAGTAGATATTACTGTGATGACCCAGGTTAATTTTATTCAGACAGAAGGACAGTCTGACATACAAATGTACATATTTTTATATGAATTGTATGGGTAAAATTGGACCAGTGGTTCTGGAGAAGTAAAAAATGTAAAAAAATTTCAGGCAAACAGATGGACGACATGTCACGACAGACGTTATATGATAAGGAAACCAGAAAAGCTCAAATGAGTGTTTTGAAAGGGTTACAATATGGTTGCAGTATTTGAAGAGCTTTTTTTTTCATGCAGAGATATGCATGACCAACATATTCATGTTTTTATATTTTCTTTAGTAATTTGTTTGTTTGTTGTGAATACATCTCTCTCGGGAATTTTTCCCTCATATGGAGACACCACCAAATAATAATGAAGACAAGATGTGTTTGTGAAACACTGATGTCCCTGTATGGAAGCCTATTGCGAAGGTTGAAGTTTCTCAAATATATGTCAAACTCAAAAGTCAAGGTCAAAGGGTTCAAATTGTTGGTATCAGAAAAAAGTCTTGTCACAAGGAATGCACATGTGAAATAAGAAATCCCTAGTACTTCCTGTTCAAAAGTTAATTGCTAAGGTTATATAATTTTTTAAGTGGTTCAAACTCTACGGTCAAGGTCAAACATATTTATACTTGTTGACAGTTCACAATGAATACGCATTAAAGCCCTAGCACCTACTGATCAAAATTAAGGCTAAGTTTAAAGTTGGGTATTTTTCTTGTAAAAATGTGTATTCTAGGTCAAGTGATCAGAGGTAAAAATTAATGTTACCCAAATAAAGGGTCTTAATTGTCACAAGAAATAAACCTATAAAATGCGGAAGCCATTTGTATAGCCCATCCCTTAAAACTTATGGGCAAGGTTATAATTTCTGCAGACAAATAGACAGACATAATTCTAGAGCCGAGCTCGTTGCAAAGCAACGAGTAGGTCTTCCGTCCTGTTTGACCGAGAGAAACTTTCATTTGAAAAAAAAAGAGTAATGAAGTCGAAAAATGGTTTAATCCTCCAAATCTATGTTCATTTTTGCAAAATCAAGCTATTTTTGGCAACTTCCCGTTTGACCGGAAGTACCGTCGACGGACGGAAAATTAAGATTTAAGCTTCCAGTGACATATGCTATCCAAAAACCTGTCAAGAACAACAAAAATATGCAATTTTTAACTACTTCCGGTTTGACCGGAAGTGACGTCCCCGGACATATTTTGACAACCTCATTAAATAAACCTTGACATTTTGGACAACTTTGCTTTTTTGACGTATTATAAATTCTAAATACTTTTCGAGATATTAAACAAAAACTTTCAAGGGTCCTAGATCCCTAATTTTAGGGGCCAGACCCTTTTTAATGATATCAAATGAAAGCGCTTGTAATTATGCCAAACTTTTATTCTACATGTCTCAACAAAATATTTTTAGTTTTCAAGATAGAAAGGAAAATATCTGTAAATTTTCGCTCTTTAAGGCGTTCTAATTTTTGACCCCTATATAGCGCCATTTGAATGCAGAAATCGAAAAACAAAAACCGATGTGCACAACTTCAATCCTTCTGTTATCTAAAACAAGTAAAATTTCTGCTCCAGCTTTTGTGATCTCTGAGCCTTTATCCGGAAACGAAAGCTTATGATTTTTTGTTTAAAGGGGAATAACTCAAAACCGGAAGTGACTTTTTGAAATTTCAGTCATCATTCTGATAGAGTTTATAAACATCTATAACCTCTGAAAAATTGAGCGAAATCTGTTGAGAAATGAGTAAGATATGAGGCCTCAAAGTTGGCGTCTAGGAAGTAGAAGAAAAAAAAAGAATAATAATCACTAGAGCTGAGCTCGTTGCAAAGCAACGAGTAGGTCCTCCATCCGGTTCTGACCGGAAATGCCGGAAGTGACGGAACTAAAGAAAGCAATGAGATAAGAAGTCTCCAGTGACTTTATAATTTCAATTTTGCATCAAAACCTTAAAAATTAGCCATTTTTGCTAATTCCGGTTTGACCGGAAGTGACAACGACGGACGGAAAAATACTTTTTATGCTCCCAGAGAGATATGTGACCCAAAAACTTGTATAAAACGGCAAAAAGAACGTGTTTTATGACTACTTCCGGTTTTGCCGGAAATGACGACGCCAGACGTATTTTGTCTCCCTCAGTAAATTGAGCTTGACATTTTGAACAACTTTGCTTTTTTGATGTATTACAAATTCTCAATGCTTTTTGAGTAATAAAGGAAAAACGTTTGACCCCTCTAGGCCCTTAATTTTAGGGCCAGCCCTTTTTTCGAGATATCATTTGAAAGATCTTGGGATTCTACACTTCTTTTGTTATATATGTTTTAACAAAATATTTCCAGGTAAAAAGATTGCGTGGAATAGATGTCAAAAATTTTGAAATTCGCGAAAGGACAATTTTTGGGCCACAGCCAGCGCCGACGTGCGACACTTCCAAAAAAAACGAAATCATTTTCGCATATCTACAGACTTAAGACTATCATACCGGAAAATTTCACGTTTCTATCTATAGCCATTTCTGAGAACGTTCGCGGACAACCTGACCCTTCAAAATTCGCAAATCAACAATATCTCCAAACCGGAAGTGACGTCATCAAATCGAAAAATAATGCATAAAGTTCAAGTAATGTTACATTAGTCCCGAAAGTTTCGTTGAAATCCATCAAGCCGTTTTTGAGAAATCGCGTGCACAAAATCGGTAAGAAAAAAAATAATAATAACTAGAGCAAAGCTCGTTGCAAAGCAACGAGTAGGTCTTCCGTCCAGTTTTGACCGGAAGCGCCAAAAGTGACATAAAAAAAGAAAGCAATGAGCTAAGTCGTCTCCACTCACTTTATAATTTCAATTTTGCATCAAAAACCTTTAAGATAACCCCTCATTTTAGTGGCCAGCCCCTTTTGCAATATATCATTTGAAAGATCTTGGAATTCTACACTTCTTTTGTTCTATATGTTTTAACAAAATGTTTCCAGGTAAAAAGATATCGTAGAAAAGGTGTTCAAAAATTTGAAATTCGCGATATGACTATTTTCGGGCCATAGCGAGCGCCGACGTACGTCACTTCCGATAAAAATTAACTACGTTATACATATCTATAGACTTTGGTCTATCATACCTAAAAGTTTCATGTTTCTATTTTTAGCCATTATTGAGAAAGTCTGGAGACAACATGACCCTTAAAAAATCATAAAATCGACAATATCTCCAAACTGGAAGTGACGTCATCAAATCGGAAAAAAATGCATGAGGTTCAAGTAATGCTATATAAGTCCTGAAAGTTTCCTGGAAATCCATCGAGCCGTTTTCGAAAGATCGCGTGCACAAAATCGGTAAGATAAAAAAAGAATAATAATAACTAGAGCAAAGCTCGTTGCAAAGCAACGAGTAGGTCTTCCGTCCAGTTTGGACCGAAAGTGCCGGAAGGGACGTCAACAAAAGAAAGCAATGAGCTAAGTCGTCTCCAGTGACTTAATAATTTCAATTTTGCATCAAAACTTTCAAAATAAGCCATGTTTGGCTACTTCCGGTTTGACCGGAAGTGACGCCGACGGACGGAAAATTAATTTTTATGCTCCCAGAGACATATGTTATCCAAAAACTTGTCAAGAACGGCAAAAATATGCGTTTTCGGACTACTTCCGGTTTGGCCGGAAGTGACGACGCCGGACGTATTTTGACGTCTTCACTAGATAAAGCTTGACATTTTAAACAATTTTGCTTCTTTGACGTATTAAAAATTCTCAATACTTTTTGAGATATAAGGAAAATACTTTCGGCCCCTCTTGGCCCCTCATTTTAGTGGCCAGCCCCTTTTGCAATATATAATTTGAAAGATCTTGGAATTCTACACTTCTTTTGTTCTATATGTTTTAACAAAATGTTTCCAGGTAAAAAGATATCGTAGAAAAGGTGTTCAAAAATTTGAAATTCGCGATATGACTATTTTCGGGCCATAGCGAGCGCCGACGTACGTCACTTCCGATAAAAATTAACTACGTTATACATATCTATAGACTTTGGTCTATCATACCTAAAAGTTTCATGTTTCTATTTTTAGCCATTATTGAGAAAGTCTGGAGACAACATGACCATTAAAAAATCATAAAATCGACAATATCTCCAAACTGGAAGTGACGTCATCAAATCGGAAAAAAAAGCATGAGGTTCAAGTAATGCTATATAAGTCCTGAAAGTTTCATGGAAATCCATCGAGCCGTTTTTGAGAAATCGCGTGCACAAAATCGGTAAGAAAAAAAACAATAATAATAATAAAAGTGAAAAAGAAACCTAAGAATAACAAGAAGGTCTTCCGCTGAAGACGGAAGACCTTAATAATAAAAGTGAAAAAGAAACCTAAGAATAACAAGAAGGTCTTCCGCTGAAGACGGAAGACCTTAATTACCAACAGAATCAGTAGAAGGTCTTCCGTTGGAAACGGAAGACCTTAATAAACACAGGAAACAAAATATGTACATAATTAGTCAAATGGAAAAAAATATATACTATTTAATTGGAATCACAAAATAGATTGTTATTTCAGGGATAGAGAGTGGGTAGAGAGGTTAGACCCCCCTCTCTGGAATTTCCTTTGTTATTTAAACAAGACTATATACTGAGGCAAATAAAAAATGACTTCGAACATCCTCCCCCTAACTTAGAAAACTTCGACCCCACAATCATTGTTTTTATTTTGTTTACATGTATTTGTTTTCAGTTTATGAGTTTTTTTCTCCTGCTTGTAAGGAAATTCTAGGCATGAATTTTTTGACTGAGATGTGAACCCCCCTCTCTACTCCCGAAAAAAAATTTCTGGATCAGCACCAGTATTGGCAGTAACTGAATGTCACATCGACAACGGGAGATAACTTCACAATATGATATTCGTCTAGTGTGGCGTGCGATGATCTTTGACCCTTTTTGAACTTTAACCTAATCGTTGGGGTTTATTTTACCCCCCACTATACCTTAACTTGTACTTACCGACCTCCATGTGCTATAAGAAAATGTCCATTGAAAAGATGGTTGCCCCCCCCCCCACTTTTTACCACAGCATATACAAAGCAAGGAAATATGGGGAAAAAAATTGGAAGTGAAAGTAAGTTTGCCTTGAAAAAAAGGTGCCCACTACCCCCCCCCCCCCCCCCATTTCATTTTTTTTCCTTGTTAATTTTTTAGGTAAGTAAAAAAAATTCACAGGTTGCCCCCCCCCCCACTTTCAAAAACGATGCTACGTGCCTGAATTATATAGAATTATTTTGACTTTTTCCTTGGTAAGCCGCCCGTAGGATTGTGTATTTAGAGACAAACACCTTAGTGTGGGCATTACTGTCTCATAAAGCATCTAGTTGTTTTACTATTTTTGATTTATTCGCGCAAAGGACATTGGTTATTGCAGGAATTCTGGGAATGGTGCACAGAGAAATTTGGCAGACGAATGTACAGATTTTAATCCGAATTTCCTCTGTTCATACACGTTAGTCTATTGAGCTCGCTGCACTCGCTATAACAATATATAAATAGACACAACATACATCTACAGTCCATCTATCGAAAAAGTTCCCTCACAGTTCAAAGACCTTGAGTACCGAGCAAAGGACAAAATTTGTAGCCCTCCACCGGCAGGTGGTGGCGTCTCCACATGAATGAAAAATTCTTGAGAGAGACGTTAAACAACATAAAATCAATCAATCGATATAAACATCGATATTCACGAATTACCTGCCCGCCCCCTATTATTACCTAATAATAGAGCTGAATTTCAGAGAAAGAGTTGTCTATCTGTCACAAGAAATTAATCTCTCTCTCTCTTTCTCCTATTTGATTGTCATTCATTTTTTTTTACCATTTATCATTTCCGTTTACCTACCCAGGGTCCCAGTAGCTGGTCCGCCAAGAAAAAGTCGGTATTTGTTGGTTTCGTCAGCAACAGAGAACTGGCTGTATAATTCATAGAGCTTTGTGCCATTGGTCAGTGTCAGGGTGACGTAGAGGGAGGTGTTGCTTCTCTTAGTAAGTTGATGTATAACGTCATTTCCTTAAATATTCTATCGTCGATTAATATAAAGAATTCATAAAGCAAAACATATTTATTTCAAGTTGTCATACAACTCAACATATGATTATGAAGGTATGCAGAAATTTCTAATTGTGTAGTGCATGCGGCAATTAACGTACATGTTTTGAAATCAAAGTAGGTAAATCGTTATATATTGTATTTTACTTAAATTGTTATTAATTTCATTTTAACTGCTAGATTAAATGCTAATTTAAACTGTTAATGATCAGAAGAATTAGCATCCCCTAAAACAGCATAAAATATTACACAGTTATAGATGGGTACAATGTAAATAGCAAATTAATGGTACCCCGAGGGAGAGGAATGTTTCTACATCTGGACCCTATGTCCTCTGTAGTCATTCTATAACTGTATATAGTTTACCTATCCAGTAGGATCCGCTAGGATGCCCGAATCCCGTCTTGTAGTCGGACCACGTTCTGTCGAATGACACCGAACCACTGACACGTTTCTGTAAAGCCTGAGTTTTTATGAAGAAAAGGAGGTTATTTTTATTTATTTATTATTTTTTGGGGGATAGTTTATTTTTACTTTCACACAAATTATACAAATATAAAAACAGACGTATATGTAAATAAATATACAAGACAGTTTGAAATAAAGCAACAACAAAAAAAGTAATAAAAGCTAGTGTCAACGTTTATGTAGAGAGAAAGAGAAGGAGAGGAAGATTGAGAAACGAGATGTTAGAGAGAAAGATGTGGGGCACACACTTTCTTGAATAAGTAACAGTAAAAAAAAATTTAAAGTATATCAACTATTCCCTGCCAATTTCTTTCAAATTCATCATAATCTCAAAACTTGCGTATTACATTAATCCCTTCAACTACTAGTATTTAAAGTAGAAAAAAATCTTTGTTATCAAATTGATAATACAGTAAAACTCGGTTATAACGAAGTCACAGGAACCTATGACACAGGAATTACTTCGCTATATCCGTAATTCGTTATAACCGTATAAGAAATTCATTAAATTTATATAGTTGGAGATCCAAGATGACTACGCTACATCCGTAAATTCGCAATATCCGTGTTCGTACTAAAGGAGTTTTGCTATATTATATATTTTTTTTCTACTTTGTAATTAAAAAATATTTATTTTGGAATTTCATTATCTTCCTGTAAAATAAACTAGAACAACCATTTAATGTTCATTCAGCGAAAAGGTTTGATATCAGCGTTAAAATCAAAGATTAATAAATTGTTAAAGAAGGAGTAATTATAATTGATGGTGGAGCTGAAGAGAGAGAGAAAGGGAGAGAGAGAGAGAGATCTTACTGTCCACCCTCCACCCTCTGTCATCATGTCACAGAAGACGCTGACCTTGCTGTTATTACCAAATGGATAGATCTCATACACACCAGATTCTGTATTACCATTTACATAGAGGTCCTTGCAATCTTTATATTTGTGTGACTTTAAAAGAAAAAAGAAAAAATATATGGCTACCTACCTCTCTTATCTCTATATCACAGTACACGTGTACCTGACTCTTATTACCCAGGGGATCTTTGAGATTAACGCCAGAGAAATTGTCACTGTGTAAATAGTTATCGCAACAATCCGTATAATGTTTTAAACCTGAATGTAAGAGAAATACATTTATGATTATGTAATTATCATATCAATGAACATCCAGACAAAAGAGAGAGAGAGAGAGAGAGAGAGAGAGAGAGAGAGAGAGAGAGA